GGGCTGGTGCACTGTGTGGGGGGCCTTAGGGAAGAAGGATGACCGAGTCTGCTCAGATCACTCAACCCAGAATTGAGACATGGATGTGGGTGCAACTTCTGGAGTCATGTGAACGTGCACTCAGCACTGGTAAGGTGACTGGGCAAGCGGTTCACAGAAGAGGCATCACTCACAGGCAGGGCTGAGGGCCTAAGTGGACCCCAGCCATTCAAGGCAGAGGTCAGCCTGGCTGCACCAAAGGGCTGGGACAGAGAGGCCATGAGAGGAGCTCCTGGCTATGAGGAGACGCCCTGCCTTCTTCAGGCAGTAATTCACTTATTCCCCACAATGGTGTCATAAAGTTGATCGGATTATTTTCTCCACTTTAAAATGGGCACGTTGAGGAGTGGGGAAAATCCTCTAGCCCAAGAGCCCCAGAAAGGAAGAGTGGCACCCAGTCTGGCTGACTCTGCCCCTGCCTGACGCTCAGCTCCGCTCCTCTCGCCAGATCCAGCCAAGCCCGAGCGGCCTCACAGCAGACCCTCTCCCGAGATGGTGGGGAGTATCCTCCTGAGATCCCAACAGGAATGTGGACGCCTGGAGGGGGGCAGGGGCCCCAGCCAGCACGGTCATTAGTCAGGACCTGAGTGGGGCAGGCACAGCTGGCTCACCACTCCATAGGGGATGGCCAGTGAAGACAGGGACTCGCTTCTGTCCCCCAAGGTCGGACCCTGGAGAGCATCCCTCCACCGGTGACTAGGACCACGTTGCTCACCTCAGCTAATTTGTGACAAATTGGGCACCTGGGGGCATCTGTGTCCCCTGTGGGGAGCCCACCCGCCTCCAAGGCTCCACCTCATCTCCCACTCTCTCCTTGGGACTGGCTGTCTTTTATTTTCTCCTTCCTCCCTGCTCTCAGCCATGTATCTGCCCTCATTCACTCAGGAAGTCAGTCAACAAACACATACTGAATACTCAGTCTGGCAAGCCCTGTGTCAAGCACTGGGGAAGAAGGAAGGCGACATTGTTGCTGCCTCTGTCAGGGGCAGGGACAGTCCAGGAAACACACCTTCACAGTGCAGTGCAGAGGTGCGAGGAGAGAGAGAAGCAGTCTCCTGCAGGAGTCAGGGTGACTCACTTGACCAGGGGAGCCAGGGGCATTCAGGACATCATTCCTAGAGGAGTCTGAAAAGGCGGGTGGTTTCAGAGGGAAGAAGATGGAGAATGGTGTTGTAGCCGAGGGGTCTGCGTGTGCAAAGGCTGGAGGCAGGAGAGAATGGACAGGCAGGAAACTGCAAGCAATTTGGTTGAGGGTTGAGCTGGCTGGCAGTGTTAGGGGTGGAGATGTGGACAGGGGCCAAGTCAGGAGCTGGGCCTCATCCTGGAATCACTAGAAAACCCTGGGACATTTTAAACACATCTTACATTAAAACAACCATCCCTGGCCGGGCATGGTGGCTCAAGCCTGTAATCCCAGCACTTTGGGAGGCTGAGGCAGGCGGATCATGAGGTCCAGAGTTCAAGACCAGACTGGCCAACATGGTAAAACCCCTTCTCTACTAAAAAATACAAAAATTAGCTGGGCGTGGTGGCTCGTGCCTGTAATCCCAGCTGCTTGGGAGGCTGAGGTAGGAGATTTGCTTGAACCGGGACCAGGAGGCGGAGGTTGCAGTGAGCCGAGATGGAGCCACTGCACTCCAGCCTGGGCTACAGAGCAAGACTCCATCTCAAAACAAACAAACAAACAACCATCCCTTACTTGTCCGTGTAAACGGAAGTTCACCTTCAGCCCTCACAGAGGCCCAGCGTTCTAGGCCTATCTCAGAGGGCTGCTGTCACTGGGGTTTCAGGCATCCTCCTGGGGACAGGAGGTGGGGGGCAACTGCGATTTGGCTGCACCTCAGGCTGGCCTCGTTGGAGCCTCGCTTCCTGCTATCCCAGGCAGTTTCTGGGGCAGCAAGAGACCAGGAGGCTCTCACTGGGGTCCCCATGAGTGCCTAAGACCATGGTCTGACTCCTCAAGTGTAGTCAGAGCCAGAGAGAAAGTGCAGTCAGATGCAGGGAAAGCGAAGGCTCAGACTGCTCTGTCCCCGCCCCTCGCGCGGTGGCTGCGTGCATGGGCTAAAGCACCTTTGCAGCATCCAGGCTGCCGCCTCTGCTGCTCACACACCTCACGTTCCTCTGCCTCCAGCTGCTCCTGACAAATGAGGGCTGGGAGTGCTCCAGGCTGGCTCCTGGGTCCTCTTCCCCTCCCACTCCTGCACTCTCCTGGTTCAACCTCAGCCTCCCATGTTGCCTATGTGGAGGTTTATCCCCAGCCCTCAGCCCTCCTCACAAATCTGCATTTGTGATTTTATCTCCTCTCCTCCAGAATACTCATCTTCCTTTACTCCTTCCTCCCATTGCTCAAGTCAAACACGTGGGGGCCGTCCTGGATTCTCTGTCTCTCACCTCGTTCTGAATCCAGTTCTTCAGCACAGGTGGTCAGTGTTCCCGCCCACACAGCTCATCCGTGGGTCTACGCCTGTCCAGCCCTTACAGCAGAGCCTGCTTGTAACTCCTTAGACTTAACCTTTTCTGGCACACCAATCTCACTGTCACCCACTGGCCCAGTATCCCTTTGTCTGGGGGCTTTCTCTAGCAACTGGAGGTGATTTTGCCCCTAAGCACAGCAGGCTAGAAGTGAAAGGGAATGAAAGCTGCCTGCCCCGAGGCAGCCCCACCTCTGACTGTTGGGGCACTGGTGGATGCATCCTCCAGCTCCTGGGTGACTCAGAGGCGTGGTTCCCCAAGTGCCCCCAGCGATGATGTAACATTTACCGCCTTTCTTCCCTGCCCCGGCTCGGTTCCCAGTCCTACTGATCTGGCCTGGAATCACTTGCTTCTGGAGGATCCAATGACATCCTATCCAGTCCCAGTGACCATATCTCTTGCCTAGACCACCAGCCTCCCAGCGGGTCTCTCTGAACTACTTCTGTCTTTCTCTGGTCCACCTCCCACACTGTGGCAGGGGTGATCTTTTCATAATGCAGACGGTCACCCCCCTGCCCTCCTAAGCCTCTCCAGGGCATTTGGCCGCTCTTAGGATAGGATGAAAATCCCCCACGGGCTGATAAGCCCCTGTGTGCTGGTCCTGCAAGCAGGCTCCCTCATGCCTATGCCCAGTAACTGCCAATCAGGCTCAGGCCTCGGCTCAAGCATCATTTCCTGAAGAAAGCCCTCATAGAGGCCCAGGCCAGGTCAGGCCTTCTGATTAGACACTCAGGCGGACCCACACACTGTTCTTATCTATCATCATTTTACATGACTTTCTTTTCTTTTTCTTTTTGAGATGGAGTTTCGCTCTTGTTGCCCAGGCTGGAGTGCAATGGCGCGATCTCATCTCATTGCAACCTCCGCCTCCTGGGTTCAAGCAATTCTCCTGCCTCAGCCTCCTAAGTACCTGGGATGACAGGCACTCACCACCACACCTGGATAATTTTGTGTTTTTAGTAGAGACTTGGTTTCACCATGTTGGTCAGGCTGGTCTCAAACTCCTGACCTCAAATAATCCACCCTCCTCGGCCTCCCAGAACACTGGGATGACAGGTGTGAGCCACCGTGCCCGGCCACAATGCATGTCCTTTTGTATCTGGCTTGTTTCACTTAGCATTAGGTTTCAAGGTTTGTCCATGCTGTAGAATGTGTCATCACTTCATTTCTTTTTTTTTTTTTTTTTTTTCATTAAGACAGGGTTTCACCATGCTCATCAGGCTGGTCTTGAACTCCTGACCTCAGGTGATCCGCCCGCCTTGGCCTCCAAAGTGCTTGGATTACAGGTGTGAGCCACCACGCCCGGCCCCCCTTCATTCTTTTTAAAGGCTGAATAATATCCTATTGTGTGGATAAACCACATTTTGTTTATCCATTCATCAGCTGAAGGGCATTTAGGCTGTTTCCACCTCTTCATCTTTGTGAAGGGGGCTGTTATGACCATCTGTGTACAGAGGTTCGTAATGCTATACGCCTCCTTGCCCTTAAATGACAGAGAGCAAAGACAAGACATTTAGGAAGGAAATAAACATAAAGTTAACATTTAAATATAAAATTAATACTTAAACTGTTGATTAATGATATTTAACTAAATTAGCAATATTTACAAGGCATCAGTGTTTAACACACTTTATCTCATTTATCATTATAATCCTAAAGAAGACATTCTCACCTCCGTTCTTTTTCGTTTTGTTTTGTTTTTGTTCTTGTTGAGATGGAGTTTCACTCTTGTTGCCCAGGCTGGAGTGCAATGGCGAGATCTCGACTCACTGCAACCTCTGCCTCCCGGGTTCAAGTGATTCTCCTGCCTCAGCCTCCCAAGTAGCTAGAATTACAGGCATGCACCACCATGCCTGGCTAATTTTGCATTTTTAGTAGAGGCGGGGTTTCACTGTATTGGTCAAGCTGATCTCGAACTCCTGACCTCAAGTTATCCGCTCACCTTGGCCTCCCAAAGTGCTGGGATTACAGGCATGTGTCACCGTGCCTGGCCACCTCCATTCTATATATCAGAAAATGTAGGCTCAGAGTGCTAAATAATTTGCCCATGGTCACACAGCCAGTGAGTGTCACCCAGCAGGCAGCCCACACTATTGTGACCCCAAGCTGCCTTACCTCACTCTTGGAGCTGGCAGGGAGGTGGGAGAATGAATAAGAGGAAAATTGCCTTGCAAAGAAATTCCCACCAAGTTCTTACCTTGGCCAAGTCAGCATGCAGAACTGATGGTAAGAAAATACTGGCCATGTTCACTTGCCCAGGGAAAGGAAGGCTTTGGGGTGGATTTTGGCTTTGAGGATTTGGCTCTGGGGTGCCTGTGATCTGCTCACCAGGACCACTCCAGCCCTGCACCACCAGCTGATTGTCTGAGTGAATAAAGCTGGAGCAGCCTCCCACATCCCATCCTGGCCCAGGACAAGCTCCCCCTGCCCAGTGGGACTGGACACACTCCACCCCCAGGAGTGGACGTGGGCTGTGGCAAGCCTCATACCTGGCACTGGCTGCCCTGTGGCCAGCTCTCCTGTCTGCTCTCTGGAAAGCTCCTGCAGACACTGGTCTTGCTCCTCCTGCAGCACCTGCAGCACATCACACAGGCGGGGAAGGGCTCCAATCTGCAAGTCCAAAGCAGGGATGCTCATCATTGTCACTAGCTCAGTCCCGCGACACAAAGAATTTTCGTGGGGAGAGAATGGGGCAAGACAATGGGGTTTCAATGGGGATCCGAGTAAAGCAAAGCCCTTGCCTGCAAGGGGCTCTGGTCTGCAGGAAAGGTAGAGGCAGCCGCTCCTGGGTGAGAATTCAGAACACAGCTGGGACAGCTGTGACATGCAAATGACCTGTGGCTTGTCCACTGCAAATTTTGCTCTTAAGTTTATCAAGGCTCGTGAGCCCAACAAGCTGTTTGCTTCCTTGGCACCTGATTGTCTGTGGGACTTACTTTACGCTACTCCAAATATGTGGGTATTTTCTTTTTTGAAAGCTTGGTGTTTTTTGTTTTGTTTTGTTTCGTTTCGTTTTTCTAGAGACAGGGTCCTTCTCTGTCATTCAGTCTGGAGTGCAATTGTGTGATCATAGCTCTCTGCAGCCTTGATCTCCTGTGTTCAAGCAATCCTCCTACCTCAGTGCCCCCAGTAGCCAGGACTACAGGCATGTGCCACCATGCCTGGACATATATTTACACACACATATATACACATAATAAAGAAGGGGGACTCAACATAGTGAGACAAAATAGTGAGACCCCCTTCTCTCTATATATTCGTGTGTGTGTGTGTGTGTGTGTGTGTGTGTGTGTGTGTGTAAGTACCTTGGCCAAGTCAGCCTGCAGAAGCTGATGGTAAGAAAACACTGGCCAGGTTCACCATATAAATACACACACACACACACATACATAATAGAGAAGGGGTCTCACTATGTTGCCCAGGCTGCTATCAAACTCCTGGGATTATAGGGATGAGCCACTGTGTCCAGCCTGAAAACTTAGTTTTGATTCAGACAAATTCTTTAAAACCCACACTTAACCATAGAAGAGATCGTACATCCAACCTAGAACGGCGGCTACCAGGAGGTTTGGACAGGAGGGAGGAGAGGGGACTGGCTCTCAGCTCTGAATTCCTAGCTCTGTCCAGAGTAGACTTCCTAACATGGCTTCAGCATTTGGTGCCTGAGACTTGATAAGGATAATGAATGCATGTATGAATGAACAACCAAAGAGATGAGTGCATTGCACTCCTACTTTCCTTACAAAGTACGAATGTGGCATTTTAATATGAGTCTTCTTACATACATGAACTTAATCAGTTCTCAAAATAATGCAATAAAGAAAGAAAGGGAAGGAAACTGAGGCCCATGATGTTAGGGGCTATGACCAGGGTCATCCACCCAGCCTTCCAAGAGGTTGAGGACCAGATCTTACACCCCCTTGTCAATCCTCTACTAGTGATTTGCAGATGGAAATTCCAGCATCATGGAGCAGGGAGAGAAGTCCCTGGAGACAAAGCCACAATCCAGATTGGCCCAAGTAAACAAAAGCTCTGGGCCAAAGAAGGACAGCTAAGATCGCACTATGGTCAAAAGGCTCAGAGGCAAACAGAAGTCGTCTTCTGATTAGCTCCTATTCTGGATCTTCCATGTGTTACCACCCTTCACTAGTAACGTTGGAAAGATCTACAGCTGTCAAGAACTGTTTCTCTCCCCAACTCCCTGACACCAGCTGACCAGGGTTGATGTTCCCCATGAAAAACACACATCACCTTGTAACTGGGTGACAGGAGCAGGGCTGAGGGGGTCCCAATGATGCTTATTATTCCCTGATTGGATGTGTTTTTCCAGGTCCTTGGGCCTCACTCACCCAAGAATGGGAAGGAGGACCCTGGTGGCATGGTGATATTGTTCAAGTAAATATCAGATCCAAAGAACTTTGCAGAAAAGCAATTTATTAGGCAGAGAGAGAGAGAGAGAGCTCCCATGCTGTAGTGAGAGGGGATCCAGAGATGGAGTCTGCACAGGTAAAGTGGTGGGGGAGGGAAATGGAGAGGGAGGGAGAGGGAGGGAGGGGGAGGGAGGGAGAAGGTTCCCACGCTGCCGTGGGAGGGGATCCCAGAGAGGGAAATCCGTATAGGTAAGCGAACGGGGGAATTTAACCCTGGAGTTACTCCCACCCCATTCAAGTTCTCGTCCAGTGAGAGGAGCTTTTCCAAACTTCCTCTGGAGTGATTGATCTTTGACTCTGATGCTGGACTGGCTGCCGGGCTTGCAATAGAGCCCCTCCTTCCAAGGCTTTTGGCAGGCCTTCTAAACAAAGGAAGCTCACCTGGGCTGTCTACCTTTCCTCAGCACGAGAAAGTTAGACAAAGAACTCTAGGCCCCCAGATGGGGAGGTGGATGGAGGCATGGCGCTGAGAAGTTCTTGCCTTAAAAACCACACTCCTTGTGGACCCGGGAAGAGAAGTTAACATAGTCCCTCAACCTCCCCTGGCCCGAGCTTGTGATCAGCCTCGGCCAGCTGCTGCAGAAACACCTGGGCCCAGCCAGCTCTAGGATCATAGAATGCTCATTCTTTCCCCACCTGTCAGCACTAAGATTCCATTTACTCCCAATACAATACAGCCAATGTGTTAATCACGTTTGCCATTTAGATTCTTGATTGAAACAAGTCGTTTTCCTAAGAATATAGCAATTGTCAAGAGAGGTGGCATTGGCACGCAGCTCGTGCACTTCTGCCCTTGTCTTCCTCCTTGTGGGGTTTCACCTGGTTCTTGCTGAAGCCCATAGTCGCTGGCACTCTCTGGCTTCTTGAGTGGAAAAATCCACCTAGAGGTTGGCAGGCACTGCCTGTTAGTTCACTGGTTGGCACACGTTGTGTTCAGAGCCGCTTGGAAATTAACATGACTCTCAACAGATGATAAAATGCTGGAGGTAGTGAGACCAGGTATAATCTTTTAAGTAATTTAAGGAATTGTATGTAATAAGTATCACAAAAATGTTCATACCCTTTGGCCAACAACTGTACTTCTCAGAATCTATCCCATATGTGGGGAAAGCTTTATATAGACAGATTCTGTCACAGCTTTAGCTATAATAGAGAAAAAAAGACAGACTTCTGCTTCTAGGAAAATGGGTTAGATGTACTTTTCCCTATTACTTCTACTAAGTGCAAATAAGACCCTGAATGCTATATACAAAACAAATGTAAGAAGACTCTGAAAAGTGGAAGAAGAAAGCAGACGGGCTAAGGACTCCAGAGCAAGGAATGGCCCAGTGGTGAGTCCCATCTTATACATATATATCACAGGACTGGAGCTGGAGATGCTGCCAATAAGGAGTCACTGACAGGTACAGACAAAAAAAAAAAAAAAAAAAAAAAAAAAAAAAAAAGCCCCAGAAAATGCCTGATCTTTAGCCAAGGACCAGGAAAGGGGCATCTAGCAAAATAGAAAAGTTGTAGACAATAACCACCCTACTCCTGCCAACCACCACAGAAAACCTGTGGCCCCACCCTCCCATCCCTGGAAAGGTGAAGTGGGGAGTCCGGACCCCCACCCTTGCCAAGCTATCACTGATGCCCAGCCTTGGTGATGATGGGAGGTGGCGTGTGAGTTTCACAGAGACTGCAAACTTTGGCCAGGGCTATGCCAGAGAGCACAAATAGGAGCTGTAACTTTCATTCATGCCGTGTGGTCATGAAGTTTCCTCCAACCCATGATATCGGTGGAAACCAGACTTCTGCCCTGGTTCAGAAGTAACAAGGGCCTCCTCTTCATGTCTTCACCAGAAGGTGTCAGAGAAATCCGAATGGAGAGTTGGGATTTTCACTACCATCTAGTGGCAGTGTGGCCACCCCCACTGCAGTGTCAGCAGAGACTGTGTGTGGAGCTGATACTCCCACCCCACTGCCATCATTGGTCACTAGGATCTTCCCTATAGGACCTATGTCCTCCCTATAGCCCTTATAGGACACTGCAGGTGTCAAAAAAGGCAGAGTGGGAACATTGGACTCCTATTTTCACCTGGTCATAAGAAGGGAACACTCATTCCCCCCACTTCCTCCCTCAGAAAAAAAACAACTAACTAAAAGAGAAGGTTTAAATAAGATCCAGAGTTTCATAACATAATATGAAAATGTCTATGTTTCATCATATCAAAAGCCAGGAAGATTTCAAACTGAATGAAAAAACATAATTAATAGATACCAACACTGAGATGATAGAGTTAGAATGTCTGACAAAAATGTTAAAACATTATGAACATGCTTGAAACGAATGTAAAAATATAAACATCAGCAAATAGGAAAGAAGAAAGAAAGGAAAAAAATGTTTTGGAAACATAAAGAAGGTTATTCTAAAATTTATGTAGAAAAGCAAAAGAATGAGAATACCTAAAACAGGTGTTTTTTGTTTTTTGTTTTTTTTTAAGAAATGAAATAATTTATTTATAAGTACTAAAACCAGGTATCAACTAGGACTTCCTTCAACAGGCCAATGGATAAACAGATTGTGAGACATACATACAATTGATGTTTATCCAGTGATAAAAAAGGAGTGAGCTGCTGGGCACTGAGGCGCCCACTTGCAATCCCAGTGCTTTGAGAGGCCGAGGCCAGAGGATTGTTTGAGCCCAGGAGTTCAAGATCAACCTTGGCAATAGAGTAAGACAGACAGACAGATAGCAAGAGAAGAAAAGAAAGAGAAAGAAAGNGAAAGAAAGGAAAGAAAGAAAGAAAGAAAGAAAGAAAGAAAGAAAGAAAGAAAGAAAGAAAGAAAGAAAGAAAGAAAGAAAGAAAGAAAGAAAGGGAAAGAAAGGGAAAGAAAGGGAAAGAAAGGGAAAGAAAGGGAAAGAAAGGGAAAGAAAGGGAAAGAAAGAGAAAGAAAGAGAAAGAAAGAGAAAGAAAGAGAAAGGAAGGAAAGAAGAAAGGAAGGAAGGAAGGAAGGAAGGAAGGAAGGAAGGAAGGAAGGAAGGAAGGAAGGAAGGAAGGAAGGAAACCATTAAGTTACAAAAAGAAATGACACAGAGTAATCTTAAATACAGATTGCTAAGTGAAAGTAGTCAATCTAAAAAGGTTACCCTGTCACCAGCTGGCAGCGGTGGCTTACACTTGTAATCCCAGCACTTC